TGTACTCGATAATGAATGTAAGCTCAGCAAGTTCTGAAAAATGAATCATGACGATGATTATTAATCATAAAGTCATATATCTATCTAAATTTAACGATTTATGTATTATATTATTGCATTTACATAAATACTTTTATTATTATATTTATATATATATTCGTAATATTTTTATGTTTAGGTGTATATATTTTAATAATTTATATATTGCTATTTTGTCTGTAATAAGATTAATGGGCCTCTCAAATTTATTACTATAATATTATTCGTTGAACAATATTTATTTTTAATTAAAAAAATATATTCTTTCTATACTTGCTTATTTTATTTTATTTTTATTGGTGAATGATATTTATTAATTAGTAGCTATTTATACAAAATAATATACAATAACCATAGGTTAGATTAAAAGAGGTAAAATTATTATTGAAGAATTTATCGTTACTATTTTACCAGTGTTAAAAAAAAAATAGGTTAGTACATTTACTAACTTTTTATAAATACTGTATCAACATATAGAAATATCGCTTTTATAATAGTTATAGTTATAAATTATTGATGTATTTTGCAATTCATATTTCATCGTCGGAAAATAAAATAGGTACGATAAATAAAAACTCAATAAGTTACTATCGTTTAGTCAATATTTGATCATTTAGTCACTTGATTATTCATTTTATACTTAGCTTATGAAATATAAATAATTAATATATTATTATATGTTTATTTAAATAATGTAGATACATGAAACAATCTAAAACGTTGAAAACAAACCATTTAAAATAATAATATAAGTATATATGTATTGTTTATAGTATAATATGTATAATGTGTAGTGGCGCAGTGAACGAAGTTAGTGTAATGCAATTGCTAATAGTCCTAAAAATTTAACTAGAATTAAAAAATAAAATTTGTGTGGATGAATATATAATTAATTTTCATAATATTTTTGTTTATATTAAATTGTTTATGACCTATATTCTATAACAAAACTTCTAAATTAACATACAACTTTGAATTATATATTATGTTGTAGAAGGTAGGTGGGTGGGTGGGTGGGTCGTTGTTTGAATACTTTACTTAAGATTTTGAAATATGCAACCCATGCTACTGATAATGTATAATGTATTAAAATACTTCCACATAATATGTATTTTTCATAAAATATTTAAAACTATGTTTGTACGAAATAAAATAAAGTTGCGTGTGATAAAATATACTATAAATATCCCAAAACTTAAGAATCATTATTCATTAATATATTACACAGATATTTTACCTAAAAAAATTAATTTTTGACTATTCAGTATAAAAATGTAGAAGTATCTATAATTATAAGTCAATTATAATTTATAACTAGTTGTTATAAAAACGGTTTCAATAGTTCAAGTAGGTATAATAATAAATATCATACTTATACCGCATAGTACGCATGCATGGTTAATTAGTAATTATGACTTTTTTTAAATTTTTTTTTTATTTTTATTAAAAGAATAATTAAAATCTATACAAACATTTTATACAATAAGTAATTTTTTTGATGGAGAATAGCGTTGGTATAACAGAGAGGGAGGGTACCCAGTAGTAGCATCAGTTTAAGACGAAAAATCCAATATCATACTCATATTATGATTTGTATGATAAAATGTTTAATCGAAAAATCTAAATAATCAATTTTACATATCGCAGTAGATTGACGATGTCGATACCACACAATATAATATCTTGTATATAGGTTAATACGTAATCTTATTTCTTACAAGCACTTGTATTTTGAAAAACTAATTATATAAAACTGGTCAAAATCATATTTCACTATAGGCTGTAGCCCATATAAGGGCAAAATATGACACCGTAATTCGTTACGATAATACTAAACTTCAATTAAACTCAATCACTATTGATATATATTTGAATTATAAAAGTACTAAATATTTAATTAAAATGAAATTTATAGTGTAATGGATACAATATTTATTTTTGTGTTTTTATCCCATTACTAAGGTACAAAAGCGCCAATTCAATCGACGATTTGCGATTTTGGGTTTCATCGGTTTCACTATAATAATATTGGGTTATCATTTAATCATTTATCAATTATAAGATAAACACCCATTTAATAATCCAATTAAATTATTTATTTTTATTCTATGAATTATAAAAATAATTTGTGTCATGTATGCAATGTACGACATGTCACGTCATGTTATTTGTACATAAATAATATTTATAATAACTTATATTATGCGGACTATTATAATGTTAACTGTATGTCTGTGTAATTATTTTATTAATTTTTTATAAAGGTAATAAAATGTTTTATTTTGTGTTTAATTATTTTATTAGTCAATTAATATAAACTATTAATTAATATTGTATTTTTAGTCTATACATTTTTTTACCGCTACATACACGAAACATCTAACGACCTGTTATAGTCAATTTAAATTATGAAAAAAAATATATAGCTATCAACTAGGAAGATCTGTGTAAAAATTTAAAATAAGCGTTATTACTAGTGCCTAGTATTATATTATACTTCCTGAGTATAATACGAGTATATTATTATTAATTATTATATGAACACTTCTATACGGTCTAAAGGAGCGGGTCGCCTGCAATCATATTACCCTATTAATGACAACCGCCACTAGTAATGTAATAAATTGTAATAATATTAATTTATATTTTATACATGTTATATATTGTACATTATTAACGTGTAAATTACATAATTCACAGTTAACTTTAAACTTTAAAGTCAAACCGCAAATCATAATTGGTTTAAATCTTGTTAATTTTACAAATCCACGTTTTTATAATACATTATAATTTATAATATACAATAATTCATATTACGTATAGTATTTACTGTGATAATTACACATTTAACCCACATCATTACATCAATATTAAATTATTATACAGTATTCGCTAATCATTTATCAATTATCACTATTCATTAAAACTACATTTTTTAATTTGCAAAAATTATATCATTAATGAATTCGTATGATTAAAATCCTAGAAAACATATCTATATAATGCCTAAAATAAGAAGTAGGTACACATAATTCTACGAGAATTTTGTTCAAACTCTATATCTATTAATAAATAAAAAAATACATATACATTTCGTAACCCTGTTTTTATTTGGTTAACTATAAACAATTTATCTCTATGACCGTACATTCAATGTACAGAAAATTAAAATAAATATTATATTACCTTTTTTTTTTCTTATGATATCGAAGACTGGAGGAGGAACCATGGTACCAGTACTTCTCCTCAATATTATATTACCTAGCATTACGTTCGTACAGCAAACAAAGAAATTGTTTATATTTTAAACTTTTCAACGACCGACCTAGTAAAATTAAGATAACTATTGATTTACATTAATGAATAGTACGTGGATGGGCGGATGGGCTTAACCTTATGAAATAGAGCCAAATTTTAAGTGAATCCATCGTACCTCGACTTTGTCTTCATTACTCTATCAACGGAGTGTGAACAGCTAACTATTGATTTGGATCATTAATCTAACTTGGAATTTAGGTAAATAAATAAATTTCTTATAAAACGTAATGAATAATGATTAGTCTTGTATTTTAATATTATGACAATTATATTATCGAATTTTGTCAGTATATAAAAATCTTACCATAAACCTGGATGTAAACATTTTTGAAATACGATTAATAAAAATATCTATTACTTTCTGAGGAAAAAAAATCACCCAGAAAGGAAAAAGGATTCTTTAAATTTGGTCTAATGAAGGAAAGAGCAGGACAGTTTATTAGCATATTATGATAATAAGTACATGAAGCACTATCGCAAATGAGGAAGGTACAGTAAGGCCTATAATTGATTACTGATTTAAATAATAGGTTGTGATCAAGTAGCAGATTATGATTATTGATTAATATACTACAATATGCGACTAATTTTTAAGAACTAAAATTCTTTTATAAGTTGATGAAGCATAAAAATATTTATTTTTTTAAATACAGACAACGTTGTTTACGTTAAATTCGACAGTAGTGTGATTTATTCCAGTATTATAAGTTAGAACTAATGAAACTAAATGTGAACGTAACGTAAATTACTTGTTAACACAAATGTGGGATGTGTTACGCGCCGTTGAAGATTACGCACGGGCGAGGCGTTCTCAACATTTTAATTTTTTTCAATCATTTATCTTCAAATATCAGCCGATAATTATATTACAAAAATGAATGACTTGAATTAAAAAAAATTATATATTTAAAAAGAGGGAGGAGATGGGATGTTGATGTAAGTATTAACCTCAGGTTACACCACTTGTAAAATTCATCTATATAATATATTAATATGTAGGTACGTCTATCCGCTGACCACTATATGGAAATGACGATTAACAACACGAGGCGATTTTGCAAAAAGGTCAAGCTCGACACGCAATGTTCTCTCGCCCCATTGTCAACGAAAACCACAATGAATGTGTGTGCGCGTAGGGGATGGTGGAGGTTTTTTCTTTGTGATTATATGTCAATTTCCCGAATTTCTTACCGTACGATGAGGAATAATCTGCGTTAGAGTGCCAATGTGTGACGAGGATGAAAAACGGTCGATGTCCGTTTCCCAACCCGACGCCGCTGAAAAAATAAACAGAATAATCACTATATAATCAGTCTTCTATTTTCTCAAAATGGACGGCGCCACAATAACAATTTTGAGTTGTAATAATGATACGTTTTCGGTTACCGGGTATCGTGTCGTAGCGCCGTCGTGTTTACGTTTACATAATATTATTATTATTATCCGCGGTCACGCGACGCGTCCTCGGCGCAAGGTTGTCGACCCCTTCCCGCCGTGTACCGTAACCGCGGTTAGATGCGATAGCCACCCGCGCCCTACTGCCCACGCATGCGTACAGACGCACGCGCTCTATAATGACCACACGGACGCGGGACGGGGGACAATAACACACCTCCGCCACAGCCGCCGCCACCTGGCGCCGACGATTCCGTCTTCCGAGCCCTCAGTTCACAGCGTTGTCAAGAGACGTCGATTGTGTATTGCTCTGTTTTCGCTTATTTCGTACGATATTTCGCGCGCCATTTCTTCCCGAACTATTTTCTTCCTTTATGACACTGATATAAAATCAATTACAGTATGGGCACTCTGGATAAACACTGCATCGGCTATAAAATTGACGACGTGTTCAAGTCTAACGCCCTGGTAGACATCAGGGCTTGCAATAAACCCGTGGTCAAGGTAATGAATCACGATTCACGAATGACTAGACTGGCATTAAGCATTATAGATTTGTTTAGTTTATGATTTTTTCCTTTTGTTCGCCGAATTTGAATTGTATTACGTTCGCCATTATTTTTATTGTTTTCGCATGACGGACACAAGTACACAATGAAGACGATAGCAACAAGCATTTTAGTATTTATATAGTACTTCCTATCTATATAAGATAGTACTGTTAGTAGGTATATCTAATCGTTACTGTAACGTGCACTTGCCACTTAGCTACTCGCAATTCGTTACAAGTTTCTGCACGATCAAATCAATAACAATAATATTGTTGTAGTTGCTTACATGGACTCGAAATTAATGTTTCTTGAGTTCACTGCTTGATAATTATTTCAACCAAGTTCGTAATACACTATATATTGTACAATAGAGAACTAGACGATAATAGAACGGTGGTTATTTAGGTGTATTATATTAAGTTGGTTGTAAAATGCATTTTGTGGCGTGTAATTTATTTAGAGAGAGAAAGGGCAGCAACGATATGTGTTCAATTATGTATTTGCATTATTCATGAATATTATTTCATGCGTTGAGTACCAGTTTTATCTTGTAGCGAATGTTCGTGTGTTATTACATACATATCATCATAATAATACTAATTCATTTAAGAAGTCTGAAGAGAGTGTTGGATTAAATTAGAAGCTTTTCTCTGTTGATTTAAAAAATTTTGTTTTCCATATGAATAGTGTAATTGTATACAGTAGGTAATCCTTTGTTGTAGAATATATGAGTAATATTATTTTGTTTTGTTTTTTTTTTTCAGTTTTATGTGCTTAAATTTTTTCTATAGTATTTTGTTTTTGAAATGCATGAATTCCAGTTATTATTTTAACAACATACTATCAAAGTATCAACATGACAAATAATACGGTACAATTTATTATTTAATATACTTAATTTATAATGTTATATATATTTTTTCAAATATTTCATTAAATTTAAAATTGTTATTAATATAATATTTAAATTAAATAATAGTCATTATTTCGTGGAGTACGTAGTTCTAAGTTTCGTCATGTATATGGATCCCCGTCGAAGCGAGAAGAATTATATGACAATATACCAATCACACGTAATGCTCATGATTCTAATTTTTGTGCTGCCAACCCAAAATTTGTTGCCATTGTGACTGAAGTAGCTGGTGGTGGAGCATTTGTAGTATTACCAATCAATAAGGTATTAATTAATATAAAACATTATTTGGAATAATATTCTGTGAATAATTTATAATGCTTATTTGATTTTAGACTGGTCGTTTAGATTTAAATACCAGTAAAGTTACTGGCCATAGAGGTCAAGTTTTAGATGTTAAATGGAATCCATTCAATGATAACATAATTGCTTCTTGTTCTGATGACTGTACTGTAAGTCATATTTGTCTTACAATTTGTTTTTATTTATTGAATTCTTTAATTTTAAAATTCATTTTTTTTCTTATTGATATTTTATAGATTAAACTGTGGTATATTCCAGACAGTGGTCTAAGTTGTAACTTAAATGAATGGCTGATAGAGTTAAGTGGACATCGTCGTAGAGTTGGTTATATTGAATGGCATCCAACTGCAGAAAATGTCATAGCTAGCTCTGGTTTTGATTACTTAGTAAGAACTATTTAATATTTATTTAAAAAAATTAACTTATACTATAAGTTATGAATTATAATATAACAGATAGAGTTCTTCTATGGTATATATTTTATTATAAAGGATATCAAGATATATTTTGTATCGATATATATGTTCAATATATCTTATAACGTAAATAAATATAATTAAATATTGTTTGCAGTTATATTTTAATGTTTTGTAAGTTTTCACTTTAGTGTATGTTTAATTAATTTATATTATTATACGCTTAAAAAAAAAAGGAGCACAAAAATGATTCTTAATTTTAATTTTAACTATTTCTATTTGTATAATAGGTTATGTTATGGGATGCAGGAACTGGTCAAATTTTAAATACAATCGATTGTCACCCAGATATTGTACATTCATTAGCATTCAATAGAGATGGTTCCAGATTAGCGACAACTTGCAAAGATAAAAAAATCAGATCAATTGATCCTAGATCTGGATTAGTGGTTTCAGTAAGTTAATATATTATTTTAATTTTTATAATAAAAATATTTATACCTGTATATTTTTGCTATATTTTTCGTATTATTTAGGAAGGAATTTGTCATGAAGGATCACGTTCGTGCAAAGTAATATATTTGGATAATGAGAGGTTATTGACCACAGGTTTTTCAACATATTCAGATAGACAGATAGCTATTTGGAATCATACTGATTTATCAGAACCTTTGCATCGTGTCAATATTGATTCATCTTCAGGAATCCTATTCCCATATTATGACTATGACACAAGAATGGTTTACTTAGCTGGAAAAGTTAGTTAGAATATAGTTATAATTCAGTATAATTATTATTTATTTTGTTGGACCAATATATTAATTTATTGATAAAAATATGTGATATTTTTAGGGCGATGGTAATATAAGATATTATGAAATAGTTGACGAATCACCATACATACATTTTTTAAATCAATTTATATCTGGTTGTCCACAGGTTAGTTGTATGTTAAGTTTAAAAGAATGTTAACCGTAGCATTTTATATTTATTTTAAAATTAAAGATTAACTTAATTATTTTATTTTTAGAAAGGATTTGGAATGATGCTTAAACGTGGCTGTAATGTGAGTCGTTGTGAAATTATGCGATTTTATAAGTTACATACTACTCGTAATGTCTGTGAACCAATTTCAATGATTGTTCCAAGAAAGGTTAGATAATATAAGACTATTAAATATAGACTTTTTTTAAAAGACCAAATCTTTAAAAATATTATTTTATTTATATTTATATACATAATGAATGTTTTATAGACATTGCATTTTTTAACAAAAAGAAATAGTTAGAAAATCCATCATAATAAAAGTACTTAATATTTTCTCCCATACGTATCAATTTTTTGTTATTGGCAGTTTTAATTAAGTAATGTAGCACAATAAAATAATTCTAATATGTAAAAAAATATTTTTTATTCCGTAAAATAAAATCAGTTGATAATGTATTATTTATTTATTTGTTAATGTTTAGTTGCCATTGGAACTGCTAGCAAAATTGTTTAATAGTAATCGATATAATCAAATAACATTAATCATTTTAGATTTATAATCTAGTAATAATTAATGAATATAACTGTAGTTATTGTTTAGTTACCATGACTACAGTCTACAAGGCCAGTAATACTATTAATATCCTATTTATTATTTGATAAAATAATTATTTTTTGAAAATTTAAAACAAAAAATGTTGACATATAAAATTAAAAGAATCTAAACTAACATTATTTTACTACTTTTTTGTTTTTATTTATTTCAGAGTGACCAGTATCAACATGATTTGTATCCTGATACAGCTGCTCCAGTACCAGCATTGAGTGCTCAAGAATGGTTTAATGGAATTAACAAACCACCAGTTTTAATGTCAATGAAAACAGGTATGTAATTGTTTTGTTGTATAAAACTAAAAATTAATTGTTTTGTTATTGATTTTAGGAGTTCCAGTGAAAACACATAAACCTCAAGCATTTGTTTCTAATGAAGCCACTCGTAATGACACTAATTATCGTATGAAATTTGCTTTCCTTTCCAAGGAAACAGTGCCTGATTATCGACCACTAGATGTAAATACAATTAATTAAACTTTATTGGTTAATAACTAATTGATCAAACATTATTATTTAATTTACTTATAAAGATGTTGCCAGAGATCGAAAAAGTCCAAAAGACTCAAGTTAATCAAAATATGAAATTTCAACAAATACAACAGAAATTGAGTAATTCATTAGTAGGCAAATTCACTAATACAGTAAGCTTAAAAATATTAACATTTGTTAGTTTTTAAAATATTATAAAGTATTATTGAATATTTTATAAACATAATTAGTGTGTTTAATTACGATCATCACATTTTTGTTTAGTTTATATTTAATTTTGACAATAATTTATTTTAGACTGATGAAAATGAAGAATGCAATAATATTAAAGAAAACTCAAATTCCGATATTTTGAAAAACGAATATCAGGTTAGTGTTCATATCTATTATTTGTTTTGGTTGCATTGATTGCAACTACTCGCTATCTTTTTATTTATATTTTAAGCATAAAAATGGATATGATTTATGAATATTTTATATAAATTTCAATTTTTAAAAATAAAACACATGCTATAATTTAATTGAAAATATATTTTTTATCATGCCATTAAATATTCAAATATATAAACAATTTTAAGTAATCAATATTAATTTTCACATTTTTAACATAAACCAAAAATTGCATTTACTGTGATTTATTATTTAATATATAATAAATACCTTTGTATAATAATTAAAATAAAAAACATTTACGATAGCTTTATTTGCATTTATACCTTGTTTTGTTATTATTATTATTTCTTGTATTATTTAATATTTTATTATGAAATGGTGATTATAGATGAAGAAAGCTTTCACTCGTCAATGTGAAGAACTAAACATGCTCAGAAAACAATTGGCCCACAGAGATCGGCGCATTCAAGATCTTGAGGATCTTGTTTCTACACTTCAATCGCAGCTTAAGGTTCAAAGATTACAGTAATCAGTAGATTATTACCAGGTGTAATTCTCTCTCTTTATATATTATTTTTAATACTTTTGAGCTTATGCCTTTTGGCTAAAATTGTGGCCCAGAGGTTATGAAACCTACTTGAGTAATAATTAATCAAATTAGCTTTGAAGCTTTAAGCTGCAAATATTTTTAAGTAAGAACAAAATTCAGGGTTGAGACTAAATTTTAAGAGAAAAAAAATTCTTTTTTATACCCTATTACTTCTGTGATCAAATAATATTTTATGATTTTGCAATAATATTTGCAATTATAACTTAATTTTTTTTTAAATTAAGTTATCATTTGTATATTTATGTTTTAATGAGTAATTAAACTATTTATTTTTTTATTACAAGTTATATTGAAAAGAAATTGAGGTGTCATAATCAAATAAGAAAATAATGTATTTCTTAAAAATAAAATGCGTGTAAGAGATAATGTTAAGTAAAATCTGATTGATTGTGTGTTTAAAGTTATAAAAATCAGTCAATACAAATATTTAGTCTTATTAAATAGCAATTTTAAAAGAGTATTTGGATAAATTGTAAATCATAATTATTTATAAAGACAATTATTAATTAACTAGGTGTCAAACATTTCAACAAATATTCTGATGTTCTAAGGACTTAGTAAGATAATCACATCATTTATATGATATATGTTTTTGTTTTATTATATAGCCTAAACAATTATCAATAATTATAATTTATTGCAAAATTTAATTTACTTAACATTTATTTATACATATTCCATCTGACTAACGTATAACATCAAATTGTATTCAGAAAAATTTATTTTATTCTTGTTATTTTAAATATTATAGTAAATTGAATTACCTTAGAACTATTGAGGTTAGAATATCATTTAGGGCTCAAGTAAGCTTTTTATTTATAAAATTAAAAATATTAAAGTAAAATGGTTTAAAATTGATATAAAATTTGTTATGTATAAGTATGGTGGAGACAGCAAATATTCAAATATGACACCTTCTTAATCATTTTCATTTATATCAAACATAATTATTTTATATCACATTGACCAAATATTGATTATCTAATGCGGACTGAACAAATGAAATCATATACTCCAATAACAATATTACTAACTATTATACAGAAATCTCAGTTTATTGTATAAATTGATATATTATAACAGGGGTCTCCAAACTACGGCCCGCGAGCCGGATGTGGCCCCCGAATAAGTTTTCACCAGCCTGCCAAATAACGGAAAATATTTTAAAAATATATATACCTAGTTTTCATAGTCGTTATAGTGCACACGAGTAATTATTAGCTGTATTAGCTGTAATTTATAAATTATATACGAAAATTAAATGTATTCATACATTTTGGCCAGCTAAGAGCTTTTTTTTATTTATGTGGCCCTCGGATAAAAAAAGTTTGGAGACCCCTGTATTATAATATTATAATTGAGTTTGTCACAAAATGCCACAAAATAAATAAGGCTTGTTCTGTAAACGCTTTAATGAGATTTTACTGCTTGTTTTGTGTTTTAGATAGACATTTAATTCTTTTATTATATAGGGATTAGTTTAGGAATTAGGATACATATTTCTGGCCAACTCTGTTTTTCATATAATTTAGTACATACATTTTATATCAAGTTGTTTGAATTGTAATAAGTCTATAAAATTATAATATGCAGTCAGGTTAGACAAAATCACTGCCAATGTGTTTCATAATTAAATCATTATATAAAATTAATTATCACATAAAAAAAATTTATATTTTATGCTGCGATAACATTAAATCATACTTAATGTTATACAGTCTTAGTAATTTTTTTCAAATAAAACATTTTGTCTGGTCTGATGCGCTATTGAAATGTTGGTTTACATGTCATAATTTATTTTTTGTGAAATTTATTGTAACTGTTACATGAGTTTAGTATGGCGGATTAATTATGTATATCAGAGTTTGATACAATATTTACATTGTGCTTTGGTTTTATGTTTTTTATGTGATTTTAGATGTTTATAAATAAGTATATTTCAAATATCATCAATCGATACAATTTTAACAAAAGTTAATAATTAAAAAATTCTATTGGTTAATTTTTTTTTATAAATTGTTCATTATGCTCTTCTTTTGTTAAAAGTTCTAATGAAATTTTACTGTATTTCTAAAACTACATGGAAAACAGATGGGGCATGCATATTATTTTTTGATTAATTTATTAAATTTTTTTGTTTTAAAATTATTGAATTTTATTTTTTATTAATTAGCCTGCATAAGACAAAGCATTCACTTTTGTTCTATAACATTGTGTTCCCAGTTTATTTATGTTTTTCTGTATTATTGTTTGATTTAATTGATAATCCATTTTATATGCGTTTGGCATAAGTTATTCTCCAAGAATATTAATGCGTTATATTGACTGGTTATCATAAGTATTTGTTGTTTTTTTTGTTATGTTAACGTATTTTTAACATTGTACTCGCATTCCCATCAATGTTAGATTGTATGCCATGAACAAATAAATAAATTGTATCTATTTTTGATGTTTTGCTACTATAAGCTTTAATATATATTTTTTTTTTTACATTTTTATAAAAATATTAAATGAAACATTAACATATATATTACATTTTTGCTTATATATAATATATATATATATATATATATGTATGTATGTATTTTATTATTGTTGTTTGCTGATGCAAATAGTATTCCTTTATTTGTAAACTACTTGTCCGAAGAAGAGGTTGAAGACAGTTCAAGAATCCTTTTCTGGTACTGGTTAGCCAATAATTAAATTATTTTGCCTATCAATAACTAACCTTGTGTAAAATATATTTGTTGATATTAACACAATATTTATGATGATCATTGCTGAGAACTCACCTTGTGATTTTAATTAAATTAGTAGTATAGTTCTTTGTCTTCAAACAAACTTGCAAATTAGCATCATGTTAAAATATGTTTGAACATACTTATTTAGCATTTTAAAGCATTACAGATACGGGGAAAAAAGTACAAAAGTAAATTTAAATCAACTTTGAAGATTAGGCCCCCTCTTTAAAAATCTAAATTTTTTGATAGTTGACCAATACAAATGAGAATTAACATGTTGAAAACTAAAAATAACATTTTTTAACTAGAAAAATATTTTTACGCTGGTAACTGGTTCATGGTTGCAATACTATTATAGTGATATTGATATATGTACAGTACAACTTACTTCAGAATAAGTACAATGGTTGTAGATTAATTTTAATTAATTTTATTGAATTCGGTACACATTTTTTAATGCATAAGAATCCATAAATGTTATCATTTTTATTCTGTAAATCTGCAACAATTTTAATATTTCTTAGAGCATTAATTTTGGTCATTAATAATTTTAACATATCAATTTATGAAAGTTCAATAATCAAAGACATTGAAACAATACTCTTTAAAATAAAAAAAAAATGTTGATTCATGGAAACAGTATTGTTACTAGAGAACAACCATTTTTCAGTCGAGAAACTTTGTCAGAGTAATACCAACTACAAATTGCAGTCATAGGAATGTATAACAATAAATAGTATGAACATCAAAATAATATTTTAAATACTTTTGAAAAATTTATTAGAATAATATTTTAAATACATATTCAAAGTATTCTTTACAATACTGGGCAATGACGAGGATTTGAAACAAAATAAATGTTTTAATATTGAATTATTTTTTTAGATAGAAATTGTATTTATTGTTATTACGTTAATAAGTTCACAAAATTGACATTACTGCGTTTGATGTATACATAAATAATAATGTACTGACACAATAAATTCAGTGGGTTAAACACTAAAAGTCTAAAACATAATTATAAGTGGGAAAGGTTTGAAACTTAAAAACAATATTGTAAAAAGGAGAATTCTCTTAGAATTAATTTTTTTTTTTTTTTTTAAACTTAAGGTTTGGATCAGTTTAAAAAGTTTTGAATGAAGACAACAAATAAAAACACAGAGTGTAAATATTAAGGTTAATTTGAAATTAAGCTGTGTAGCAGTACATGATGAACAGTTGTTAATGTTATGGAGTAAATTAATAAAACACTAATCATAGGTATTAAAAAAATGTATCACTTGATTTGAGGGGCGTGTTTGTTCATACACAAATTTGATGGCGATGACAATGACAATGATAATGAGAATGAAAAACAGTGTAAATCGCCAATGTACTCATAAATACAAGTACAAGTGATAAGTTGTTTAAAACGCAAATTAAAACAAAATATTGCAATCTGTATGAGTTATTAATTATTAGTCTAAATAAGATACTTATTTTGAAGTTGATTTTTTCGAAAATGAAAAACATAATACATCTAACAGTGCATATTCAAGGAAGATCATTTTCTATTTTTTTCTTTTGTTTTTGGTGCGTTGCCGAGGAATGTCTGTTGCGGTTCCAAATTCACCATTAGTCGCAGAACCCGGCACCGGATGTTGATAAAATGAACTCAAGAATTCATCTAGATGTGGTTGATGAAAACTACAAGCAGAAAAAAAAGTTATGTATCAGTCATCAATTCTACTGTAGTACATCGAGTTAATCTATGATACATACTCAAATAAGGGAGTCGAAGGTGGTGGAGGTGCTTGAGTTCTGGGTTGCTGTGGGGGTGGTGATGGGGAAACTGTCGGCTCAGGAGTTTGTTGTTTGCCACCAAATATTATTCTGTACTGCACAGAATGTGTATCTGCTCGCATATGCTTCAGACTACCATGTTGACAAGTGGCCCATTCAGTAATATCATATACTCCGCCATCCATACATCCAAAGTACTTCCAGCGTAAACCAAACAAACTACTTTCTGACCAAATGTCACCGTCACGAGCAGAATGATGCACATTGCACAATGCACAGAAGCGTGCAGCGTACATTGGTCGACATAACACCAGTTTCCTTTTGTGCCGTTTACCACAGCTAGTACACCTAAAATAAAAATAAAACACTAATATAAGCATGCTATAACAACCAAAATTGTATAAACTAAAAATACATAAAAAGTTTATGATTTAATAAAACTCAGTATAATAACATTTTATTTCAGAATATGAGACTTTAAAACTAAGTTTTCATTAAGCGTGTTATACATATATTATTACCTAAACATAAAAATATTTTTTTGAAACATTATACAACATGGAAACTTGGCTTAAAAGTTTTATGAATTTTTTTTAGAAATGCAATATGTTTTGCTGTATTGATAGAATTTTGGAACAGCTAATTGACCAAA